AAAAAAAAAAAGAAAGAAATGCTAGTTATGTATTTTTTTTCTACAACCCATAAAAATAAATGCAGACAGTTCCGGACTTACGATGATTTTGACTTACGATTTTCAACATTACAGTGGTGTGAAAGCGATTGTCATTCAGTAGAAGCTGTATGTCAAATTTTGAATTTTGATCTTTTCCCGGGCTGGCGATATGTGCTATCCTCACTTGTGATGCGGGGTAGTGGCAGCCGACCACAGCTCCCAGTCAGCCCCGCGACCACCAGGGTCAACAACGGACACACAACCCTTCTGCAGCCCTACAACCAGTACAATATTGAATCAATTACATGAGATACTCCACACTCTATTGTAAAATAGACTGTGTTTGCTGACTTTGCCCAACTGCAGGCGGATGTAAGTGTTCTGAGCACATTTAAGGGAAGCTAGGCTAAGCAATGATGTTCGGTAGGTTAGGTGTACTACGTGCATTTTTGACTTAAGATAGTTTCAACTTATGATGGGTTTATCAGGACATAACCCTGTCATAAGTCAGGGAAGATCAGTACATACCCTTTGGAGTTCAAAGTGAACATCCATGTACGCTCTGAGACTATCCCATCACTACCAGTGATGTTTGTGGCCCACGCTCAGGGAAATGCTGACATGGTGGTTAATAGCATGGGCTGTGCAGGCAGAGAAACCTGGCCTTCAGGTCCCAGCTCTGCCATTCGTGAATTCATGATCTCAGGCAATTATCTTCACCTTTCTGCACCTCAGTTTACTGGTCGGTCAAATGGGGGTAACCATAGTACCAACACGTCATAAGGTGGTTGTGGAAACTACATGAGCTCTTGGGAAGGCATGGTCAGTAATCAGTAGATGTTAGCTTTGTCCATGCTGTGGCTGGAATCCTGCCTTTATTTTTATTTTTATTTATTTATTTTTAAAGATTTTATTTATTTTTTTTGTCGGAGAGAGAGAGCCCATGCAGGGGGAGCGGCAGGCAGAGCAGGTAGAGGGAGAAGCAGGCTCTCTGCCAAGCAAGGAGCCCGCTGTGGGACTCGATCCTAGCCTGCGATCATGACCCGAGCCGAAGGCAGACGCTTAACTGACTGAGCCACCCAGGCGTCCCTGCCTTTATTTTTATACTGCATTATGCCAATGGTTCTCAAACTTGAGTGTGCCCCAGAGGGCTGGTGAAAATACAGATTTCTGGGCCCACCACCAGGGCTGTGATTGAGGAAGTGTGGGGTGGGGACCAAGAATATGCTTTCCTATCATACACCCAGATGATACTGCTGCTGCTATTCTTGGGACCACACTTTGAGAACCACTGAATTATGCTTTCCCTTTTTAAGACATTCTTTATAGGAACTTGTATCTAGGATACGTAAAGAACTCTTACAACTAAAAAAAAAAAAAACAACTTGGGGACCCCCCCAACACTGGGCCCAACTTCATTCTTTTGCATGTAGATATCCAGTTGTCCCAGCACCATTTGTTGAAAAGACTCCCTATAGATATGTTTTAGAAAATAAGTTGTTGAAAAAAAAAAAGTAGAAAATCAGTTGTTGAAAATCAGTTGACTGCAAATGTGGGGATTTATTTCTGGACTCTCAGTTCAGTTCCATTGATCTACATGTTTATTCTTATGCTAGTACAACACCATCTTGATTTCTGTGGTTTTGTACTGAGTTTTTAGAAATTGGGAAGTGTGAACCCTCCAACTTTGTTCTTTTTCCAGAATGTTTTATGAATTTTAGGATGAACTTGTCAATTTCTACAAAGAAGCCAGTTGCAATTTTGATGGGGATTGCATTGAACCTGTAGATGAGTTTTGGAAGTACTGCCAACTTAACATTAACTCTTTTGATCCATGAACATGGGATGCCTTTCCTCTTATTTAGATCTTTATTTTCTTCCAAGAATGCTTTCTAGTTTCAGAGTATACATTTTGTACTTCTTTTGTTAAATTTATTTCTAATCATTTTATTCTTTTTGGTGCTTTTGTAAGTGAAATTGTTTTGTTTTTTAGAGGGGGGTAGGGGCAGAGGGAGAAGGAGAAGGAGAACCTGAAGCTGACTCCATGTCCAACATGGAGCCCGATGTGGGGTCTTGATCTGAGATCATGATCTGAGCCAAAATCAAGAGTCGGACACTTAACTGACTGAGCAGCCCAGGCACCCCAGTGGAATTGTTTTCTTAATTTCCTTTTTGGATTGGCCTTTATAAATGTATAAAAATACCAATTGCTTTTTGTCTATTGACCTTTTACCCTCCAACCTTGCCAAACTCATTATTATTTCCAATAGGTTTTTGGTAAATTCCATAGGATTTTCTACATACAAGTTCTGTCCTCTGCAAACCTATCTAATCTAGATGTCTTTTATTTGACTTTTTTGCTGAATTGCCTTAGCTAGAACCTCTAGTACAACACTGAATAGAAGTTGTGAGAGTAGACTTCCTTGTCTTGTTCCTGATTTTAGGGGAAAGGCTTTCAATCTTTCATCATTAAGTATGATGTTAGCTGTGGATTTTTTGTAGATGTCCTATATATCATATTGAGGAAGTTCCCTTCTGTTCCTAGTTTGTAATGTGTTTTTATCATGAAGATGTTTTGCATGTTGTCAAATCCTTTTTTTTTTTTTTTTAAATGTCCTATATATCATATTGAGGAAGTTCCCTTCTGTTCCTAGTTTGTAATGTGTTTTTATCATGAAGATGTTTTGCATGTTGTCAAATCCTTTTTTTTTTTTTTTGCATCTATTGAGATGATCGTGTGGTTTTTGTCTTTTATTTTATTGACATGGTGCCTTACATTAATTCATTTTCATATGCTAGCCCAACTTTGCATTCCTAATAAATCTCACTTGGTCATGGTTTGTGTATTAAATTTTCTAGTATTTTGTTGAGGATCTTTGTGTCTCTATTCATAAGAGATACTGGTCTGAAGTTTTCTCGGGTCACTTTTTGTCTGGTTTTGGTATTAGGGTAATGCTGACCTCATAGAATGAGTTGGGAAGTAGTCCCTCTTCTATTTTTTGAAAGAGTTTGTGAAGAACTGGTGTTAATTCTTTAAGTAGTTGCAGAATTATTAACCAGTGGAACCATCTGGACCTGGGCTTTTCTCTGCGGGTAGTTTTTGCTACGTGTGGTTTTTAAGCATTTGAGATGTGGCTAGTATGCTGAGAAACTGGACTTTTAATTTCATTTAATATATGACAAGCTACAGATGACTATTGTTGACCATATTGGACAGAACAGGTCTTGGATGGTGGTTCTCAATAGGGTGGCACTGCCCCCTATGGTCATTTTGGAAGTTTGTGGGGGTTTTGAATTTCACTATGAATGAAGGCATTGCCCTTACAGGGTGAGGGCCAATTTTCTATGCCTGAGTGGCTTCTCAGTGTCCCCACCAGACATCTAACAATATGTGCCAGGAATCTAACTTCATTTTACATATGAATTCAAGATATATCTTGCTTGCTTTTATTTTTTTTTAAGTTTTTATTTATTTGTCAGAGAGAGAGAGAAAGCACAAGCAGGGGGAGCGGCAGGCAAAGGGAGAAGCAGGCTTCCTGCTGAGCAAGGAGCCTGATGCGGAACTCGATCCCAGGACCCTGAGATCATGACCTGAGCCGAAGGCAGTCGCTTAACCAACTG